CTGGAAGCTTATGGCACTTGCAATAGGTTGAACATAAAAGGCAATCAAAGAGTCAAGGAAGTTTCACRACAAGTAAAAGAAATTCTGTAACTTCAAAAGCAATTAGTGCTGTCAGTCATCAGTGAAATGATGCTTTCATCCTCAGTGAAAGTTCCAGCATCATAAATATGAAAATCAAAACACACACATCATGCCTTTCCTCGTGAGCATCCACACATATATTTATGAAATCTGATGGTCAGCTACAGTCAAAACAATACATCATGGCAACAACAAGTACAGGTCATTCCCACTGATTATTCAAAGATTCCCTGATGCCCCAAGAATAACACAGCATGGAAACCACAGACAGTGCAGAGCATGATGCCTGCCTGAGCACAGTTTTTCTCCACTTTGCACCATGAATGCCCTATTGATTTTTAAAGTGAATAGTAAAAGGTACTGCTTTTGATGGAGATAAATGTCAAATGCCCTGGCTACCTGAAAAAATACATTTTATCTTTGGGTACAAGTTAGAGTCACCTTGAAAACAAAAAAWTCAGATTTCAAACTGAAATGGGAGTGGTGCCTTGACTGAAGGACTGCCCTATCTCTGCAGCCTTTGAACTCTTGCTTCTACTGTGCTCAGCTCTGGGCTCTGCTCTGTGCTCTACTGATTTCTCATCCTAATAGTTAAACAGGATAGGGACCGGAATTCRTTAGAACAAGTATTTTATTAAGGATAAGTTGAAATGATGCAATTTTGGGTAGGGAAATTAGGAAAAAATGTCTTGATTGAGCTATTACAAATTCTACACATTTCTTTGATACTATTAGCATATCCAATACAGTAAAAGTACCCAAAAAAAGTAAAAGTACAGTAAAAAAATCACATGGGCWTTCAAGAAGCAGATCGAGATCACAGTGGAGATACCACTGGTGTGCCTCTCAAAACACAGACACATGCTGTGCAAGCAGCAGTCACAGATCACATCTCTCTAATTGAGGTAATCTTTTTTAATTCTTTGCCTTGAAGGTCAAGTGAACACAGTGGGAGAGGATGGAAAGCACGCCAGCTCATAATATTGCCAAAAGCACAGGTTTTTGCCTTAAGTGCAATCTGCAGAGCTCCCAGCGGGGGAATGCGAGGCCTTTGCAAGGGGCTCTGGTTGGCAGCAGCTCCCTTGTGCTGTCACCAGCTTCATCTCCACTCTCACAACTCACATCAACATTTATGTGCCACACATCGAGCCAGATCCCACTGCTGYGTGTTCAGGTAAATTTACAATCGAGCTCAAGAGGGAAGAAGGTTAACAGCACAGGGAGACACACGTGTCAATACACCCACAGACTGCACTTCCTCAGCTCACCCACTCCGTGAAACCATACAGGAATTCAAAGGGCACCYATTGCTCTGCACCTACTCCATGGCAAATGTCCAAGGTGTTAGGCAAATACAGAGTCAATGGAACTTGCATCATTTTTCACAGTGYTACCAGTAAATTACTCGGCCCACTTCTCCAAAATTTTACATTAAAATAAATCCCTTCAATGTCATCTGAATTTCATGCAGTAAGCAGCCACTTGGGGTTTTATACAAGTAAAATATGAGAATCTAGCCTGAGTGAAAGTAGAAAATGAACATGCCAAGATGAGTTTCATTACACRAGTCTGATGTGCAACACATGAAATCAAATAGATCTGCCTATTGATGCAAGCTTCAACCAGAAAAAAATAACTGCTTAGCTGTTTCTCCTATAAACAAAAAAGCCCAGCCTAAAAGAATACTGCTTCACTTCCCTCAATAACAAAGTCCTATTCACTCTGCTGCTTCTTCACCCCAGGGATTCATTTTTATCTGACTTCAAAAAAACAAGTCCATCATCCAGTAAAAGGAATTAACCCATTTCATTTCATTTCACTTGCCTGGAATACTACCAAAGATGTTCAGAAAGATAGAAAAGTAATGGGTTTTATAGGAAGACAAGGGCTTGGTATCATTTATCCTGCTCCAAGGTGTAAAAAGCCAGGATTGTCTTGGAAGCAAGTTACTGCACATATTACTTTAAATTTTAGGAAGTGAATGGCTGGCTTTGTGTGTTTTCAGACAGGTATGTATCTTTTAGACTATCCAAACAGTATGCTAAGATTAAGAATGTYTTATTCTATCATTATGATCAGCAGGGGAAATCATTTTAAAAGCTGAAATGCTTCTCAGGAAATGCATTAAAAAAACCCAAACTCTACTACTTGCCACATGCAGCTGGTGACAAATATTGAGAAAAATAATTCTGAGTACAAAGCGTCATTCAAAACAGCTCAATACAGTCTTAAATTTTCCATAATCAACTACAGTTAAGGACACATCTCAGAAACATTTTGGCAAAATGAAAAAAGCAAGCATTAGAGTTKTTTACAGATTCTCAGACATTTTTACCAAAATCCACTTGTTGTGTAAGAATTACCAGTTCCAGTTTTTCCCTCATTCTGCATTGTGCCATGAGAGCTCAATCCTTCAGCAGTCAAACTGGGCACACCAAAATAAACAGCCCTCTTTTGCTCTTTTGTATTCCTTCTGAGTCTCTAGGCAGGGGAACGCAGAGATAGGAACACAGAGATGCATATCACAATCTCACCCTTCATAACCACAACAGAGTCTAGAAAAAAATATCTGCATCTATTCCTGTATCATTTTAAGATAAAGCTACAGAGAGTCAGAGTCTGTGTGCCTGAAAAGCAGCAGCCAGGTTCAGGTCTCAGCCGTAGATTCATRGAATTGTTTAGGTTGGAAAAGATTTATATCATTGAGTCCAACCATGAACCCAGCACTGCCAAGCCCACCACTAAAACATGTCCCTAAGTGCTATACCTGCACATCTTCTAAATTCCTCCAGGGAATGGCCAGAGCCAACATTGGCCCATCCATTCACCCCATCCATGCCTGTCCATCTATGTTCCCCAAGAGCACATCACAGCAGTGATTCTCCTTCTTCTCACCTAGGTCACAGATTCCTCAACTTCTCACAGGGACAGAAGAGGTAACAGGGMTACATTACATCAACAAATAAGTCCTTTTGAAATAGCAGGTAACACCTGTAGTGTTTCCCAAGTTCTTCACAGCTTTTTCCTGCTGAGAAGTAATTCAACTCTCTCTGGTTCAAGAAACAGAAGCCTGGACTGGAGGTGCTGAATCTGGATAATGTTGGATAATATGGAAATTAYTCAATTCTCAGTGGGAAAAATAATTTCAAAAAGGTGAAGGAATACTACTATAATAGTATATACTACTGTTATATTCTACTATAACAGAAGAAGTACTCTCTGCATACAAATTCTTAGCCATACTCTGGTTACACATACCTTTTTTAAGAACACATTTTAAAGACCTTGCAAAAGTTGTTRCAAAGCAACAGGATAAAGTGGTATGTAATTGTTTTTTTTAACTTTCTCTACTTATCCAGAGCAAGCTGTTTATAATAGAGAAAGCAGTGTGCCCAGTAATTTCAATTTRTTATTCAAGTACCATTAAAATCATTGAAGTATTTCTTTCAGATTTGCAGGCAACTCTACTAAAATGAATATTTCTAACCAATCTATGTTTCATAACATGTTCCCAAGTCACCACTTAATGCAATAGCTTAATGCAATAGGGAAGGATTTTGCTTTGTTTTTAAATTTTAGTGTGTTCCACTGACTGATGGGACATGCAGTGACCCCGCTGCCTTAGTTCAGTCTTACTGAAAGCTGAGACATATGGACTGATTGTCATCAGATACTCACTGTGATTTTACTAAAGGGTTTTAGTAATAAGGCACAATCTGAAATCTATGCTGTTTCCTCATATTACATAGACCCCAATAAAAAACTTGCAGTATAAAATGTCTGGAACTTATGGTAATGCATAACTGAGCCATTAACAACACAACACAGCATTTCCTCAAAGAAAGCTGCCAGTGAAAGACAATAGCTGCAGTGGCATGGCAGAAGTGTGAATATTTCTTCTACATTTAGAACATTTAGATGTTTTTATTCCTATCAGCTGTCATTTTGCTCATCAATACCTAAGCTACTGAGAGATGAAGATACTCTCATCCTGATTTATTACAAATATTTAGTGAAAAAAAGATTATGTTTAATACCTAACCAAGTCAATGACCCTGGAATATGTCCTATTTTTTTCTAATACTTATTCTATCCTATGATCATCACGATATTCTCTGCTGGAATGGCAGAGTTGCCTCATGTATCATTGACCAGCCAAAGTTCTTAAATAAAGGTATCACATGTACCAAATCCCTCTTTCAGGACTGCTTTGTTTTTATTGGAAATCAGATTATAAAATCTTGGTTAAATATGTGAAATGGCACAAGACACTCTGCTTCAYAATGGATAACTCTGAATGGAAGCACTGGCTGAAGAAGTATACTTTCAGTGTGTTTACTGAGTTATGTTATGCAATATAGAAGCACTTAGGGCATTTGGGGATAAAAATGTTGCAACAAATAACATTAAAGTGCCTGAAAAAATATTTGACATGTATAGAGTAGATTATTTTGAGGTAGAGTAGTTGCAACGATTGTAAATAAATTCTTGTAAACAAACTAAACCTAGAGTAGTCCAAAATTCCATTCATTCCCTTCATGTTGTTTCATTAATGTTTTTTAATAATGATAAACACAAGAGTAACAACTTATCATATATATTCAGCATTGCTCTCAGACCATCAGAAAACCCGCTTGCCAGCATATTTCACTTTTACCCCTAGAAATTAATTTGGATATGGATATCRAGAAAGTAGTACAAGATTAAAGCACAAACAAAACATCAGATTAAAAAGGACCACATCCTGTTCTGATGGCAAGGCAATGTGTTACCTGTGCAATATGGTCTCAGCCTCTGTCACTAGAGGATATGGCAGGCAGGAGCACTTTGGCTCACAGGGATCTATGCACATGTTCAGCAACATTAGTTGATACTTTCTTCATTTACATGCAAAATTAAATGAAAAAGACATCACTTACTTGCTTTTTCCTTTGTATACTGTGGCATAGGACCCTTCCCCTAGTTTTTCCAGTTTTTCATATGAGTCTGCTTTTCCAAACTTAGGGCTTGTAGGCTAAACAAAACAAAAAAAAATATGACCTTTTAGCATATATTTCACCCATAATATGAACTGCTTTGGTTCAGCCTTTAGAGACATTATTATCAAGACTCATAAATAYGCCTGTTTTCAGTAGTCATCAACAGCAAAAAAAAAAATTAACAGGGAAAAAATTAATTAATATTTACTCAAATAAAATATCATTCAACAACCCAGATGGTAGTTGCTAATATCAACCATGCCCTTACATCACTGGATCCATCAGAAGGATTTTGTTCTTTATCAAAGAGACGGTTCTGTTTTATTTTTCACATTCACCACTTCATAGAGGGAAAAAGATCACTGACAACCAAAGCATCTTATCTGTGTTTAGRGATCTAAACAGCAGCCTTAATCTGCCCTACAAAATCAGACTAATAGAGCTGTTTAATCATTTTTTCTTTCTTATTTTTTTCAGACTAAAGCCCATCCAAAAACATTTCTCTAAGTAGTCAATGTCCCAGTACATCAATCACAGTTCAGAGAGTGGTCAAAATRCTACAGGAAAGCATCTTTAATAACAGCATCTTGATTCTGTATTACRATTACAGTCTTCAGATTGTGGATGTAAATCACACAATACTTTAATGYACATGTTATACAGTTGATTAAAGTTCTGCATGCTCAGTATCTGCAGCCTGAGTGAGGAGTCTAAAACTGAGTTAAGCTCAGCAATGATTCTTGCTCAAAGGGTCACACAGCTCAGCTGGCCTTTGTGACACTGATACTTGCCTCCTTTTTACACYGTAAAACAGGGAACAACTCAGCATYGCAAAACCAGAAATTCACCTGACATTAAAAMTTTCCACTGAAATTCTGAGAAAATGTTTGACTTTTTGAAGTGCATCTTATTTTCCSAAATTTCCCCATTTTCCAGYTGTCTATAAGGAAAGGGCATTTWATATTTCCTCCAAGACCAGATGGACATTGCAAAAAACTGACCTGCAGCTGCCCTCAGCATCACCTTCATATCTTTTAGACTGCAGTGCTCAGATATCCTGTACCTAAACCAACCAAAAGGTCACAGAGAAAGTTTGGAGGGTCAGCACTAATACTCAAATCACACACAGTGACTGATTTGATAGTACTCTGGTTAAATGCTACAAAGAAAAACAGAAGAAACAAACACAGCAGGTTTAGGGCTGAATTCAACTGGGATGAGCCACGTGCAGCTGCACACATGGTGCACTCACATTCAGGCCCTTTCTCTGATTTAGAAAAAGTATTCATGTTTCAGTTTTTTTGAAAGGAAACAAGCATTACGGTAGAGGGCACATCTGTGTGGAAATTCCTGTTAAACCATGGTTCAAAGTTTTAAATCAACTGACCCTAAAAATTGCTTCTGTTTAAAGAGATCAGGACATCCCAGGTAAGCTGACTTGGTGCCTCATACTTGTCCACTATCCTCAATTTACCATTAGCCAGAAAATGCAAATATTCTGTCTCCTCAACTATTCTTCATTTGTCCTGTGCAAAAAATTCTGGCACTTTGGCTACTATACACCTTTTTGATATTAACATTSCAGCTTTCTATCAAATGGTATAAGGACATACATATGTATGTTYGCAAAATTGAGCCCTTTCACCTCTCTCCAATTCAAAGAACAACCTATTATTTTGYTATCCAACTCCTAAGTATTAATGGACTTACACAAATTTGTCATRTGGAAGCTCTCAGATCTTTTTCCTGCTGCTTTATTTGGAACATTTCATTATAGATAAGGCAGTAATATTCTTGGTTTCAATCTGTGCTTAAAAAGGCTTTCTGCCTGGTTTAAAACAAATTTTAGTATTTTTACTAATCACAGTTTTATTATGGATGTCACTAATAGAGGTGAYTAAAATATTTATTCAAGTAGCCTTCTCATTTAACTATCCAATTATGGACTAATGCAACATTTAAAAAACTTCAGAAAAAAAGTGGTTGGATGTTTAAATGCCTTGAATACAATGAAGAGGGAGTGCAAAGTATTTCCCAAATTGCAGGCTGCAATGAACACACAGTGAGTAGCTTTGTTTGGAGTGGCAATGCTGCCCTAGTTAACAGTGAATAGTTCACTGTTGGCTTCCTCACAGAAAAAGGACAGGGTTTATACATGTGTTTCACATCCATTCTTATTTTCACACTGAGATTTACTTTTATTCCCTACCGCTGGAAACCATTATCTAAAGGTCACAACAACGTGTAAAGCCTTAAGATCCTGATAGGAAACAGGATGCCTTTAATCCATTACCACACAGTAAATCACCAACAATAATTATCCCTACAACCTCAAGCTCATTTCTCCATAGTCCAGCTGCCAGAAGCACAAACTGGAAGTCGTGCCTTTTGACTCACTCTCCTCCTGGAAGCTGCTGCATCCTCACCAAGAACAGGGAAGGCTCTAAAAGCTGGCGTTGGCTGGATCAGGRCAGTACAGCAAGGCTGCTCTGCCATCCTCCCCACACAGCCCCATCTCTCATCTGCTCACACTGGGGATCAGCAGCCGAAAAACAGCCCAACCCCAGTGCCTGAGCAGCCTCCTGCCCTGTGTGCAGCAAAAAAAAAAGATGAAATCTTCCCCTTTCCAGGCTACAGCACCTCTGCCGTGCAGCACAGCTCTGCTCCAAGTGGACCATTAGACTGGATCACCCTGGTTCTCCACTATTAGACATCCCTTTGTGACACTGGACATTATTTTTCCTTACATTTGTAATCTTTAAAGCCTTACAATTTTTGAAGGCATGTGGTGCAGAAAAGCACTCCAGAGGATTTTATCCAAAAAAAAGGTAAATAAATTCTGAGGCAAAAAAATACATATAATAATATGAATAATTTACATGATACTTCTTAATGATGCACCAAAACACTCAGCTTTACTTTAGACAATGAAGGGACAGCTTTAGCATTTCCCCAACATTTTCTCAATTTTTAAAAAATGAAATGTCATACACTAATACTAGCTTCCAATTACAAATTGCTTATAAAACTAAGAAGTTCAGACACTTCTTACATTTCCTTTTATTTATGTATTATATACAGATTATGGAAGATGGGCTGAAATAATGCAAAAATACATAACTTTTCAAAACTTATRTTTTCAGCTTGAAGGGATCTACATAAAGGGGTATGGAAGAAATCTAAATAATTTCAAGTTCCACATGACTGCTGAAAACTATAACCATTTCAGCCTACTTTCCTTTATTATTACAGTCCCATTCATATGGGTGTTTTTTCAGCTTCATGGATATGAATTCCATTATTCAGATCTCTCCACATTTAAACCATTTCTGTTTAAAAAAATATGCCTTGTTACAGCAAGCTTGGTGGCTTTTTTAATAAATGCTAATATTAAAATCAAATACAAAAACCCCACTTTTAAGCACGATTACTTCTACAAAAGTGTTTTATTTCTTCTAGTAGAATATGTGGGAATACACATACACAGAGATTTGTGTTTGTTGAAGCACAGGAGTCCCATGCTCTGCCTGGGATGTTGTTGACTGAAATACACACAGTGAGTGACATATCCAGAGCACATCAGATGTACAGGGCTTGCATCAGCCACTGACAGACATCACAAGCAGCAGACTCACAAGAAATTCCCCTGCATTTTATATAACTGGTGCAATCTCCCGGTTTGACCCAGACAATATTTCTCAATGGAAAACAGATTTTAGCTGAACATGTGTGTTTTGGTAAAAGTTTTTCAAAGCTTCTTTTTGAAGATTTGAACTTACTATACTTCTATAACTACTGTTTTTCYGTTTCTTTTGATCCATCTTACTTCTTTTTAGCCCTCTAAAACAACAACAGAGAATCACAGATTTATTTAGGTTTGCAAAGTCTTTAAAGATCACCAAGTCCAACTCTAATCCTATCACTGCCAAGCTCACTAAGCGTCCCCAAGCACCACATTTATACTTTTTTTAAATACCTCCAGGGATTGTGACTCCACCACTTCCCTGGGCAGCCTGTTGCAGTGCTCAGCAGCTCTTCTATGTACTAAACATCATTGGGACTACTTAGGCATAAAGAAGCCTGTTGCTCCATGTTACAGCTCTACATTTACAAAA